GGGTCACGGATTTTTTGGTCTTCTTTTTCCATCTTCTGATCTTCAGTATCTGCTCTGGAACACTCTCACTTTGGCAGCCTGGCCCTGGTTTTGTTGCTTGTCCTGCTCCCGTGATTCTTGATCCAGCATGTCCTGCTGTGACTGCATTCTGCTCCTCAGAAACTCCTACATAAAGATATTTACAATTGTACAGTCAGCTTACATGTCAAATTTCATCCTCAGTTTTCATCTGTGTCCAGCTCTGTGGCCCCCAACATAAGCAGGACATGGACCTGCTGGAGCAAATCCAGAGGACGGTCACAAAAATGCCCAGAGAGCAGAAGCACCTCTGCTATGGAGACAGGCTGAGAGAATTGGGGTTGTTCAGCCTGGAGAAGAGAAGGCTCTTCTCCAGGTGCTTAGAGCACCTTCCAGTGCCTAAAGGGGCTACAAGAGAGCTGGAGAGAGACTTCTTACAAGGGCTTGTATTGATAGCACAAGGGGGAATTGCTTTAAACTGAGAGTAAGTTTAGATCAGATATTAGGAAGACATTCTTTAGTGCGAGGGTGGTGAGGCACTGGAACAGGTTGCCCAGAGAAGTTGTGGATGCCCCACCCCTGGAAGGCTGGGTTGGACAGGGTTCTGAGCAGCCTGGTCTATCTAGTGGAGTATGTCCCTGCCCATGGTAAGGGTTTTGGAACTAGATGACCTTTAAGGTCCCTTCCAATCTAAATCATGCTATGATTCTATGATCCTCACTGGTAGAAGTCAGAAATGGGTATAATCTATGGAAATTCATTCCTTGCATGGAGAAAGACTCCTTCTATGGCAGAGATGGAGAATTTGACTTCTCATCTTTCATCTTTAGACACATGTTAAAAAAGTTACCCTTTAAACCCCTAGATTATATAGTTATATTGGATATAAAGCAGGTGAAAGACAAATACTCCAGATGGTGCCACTGCTGGTAACATAGCAGAAGGGAAAAATCATTTCTGGAATTGCCCTTACCAGCCTTTCTCCCTCTTCTTCAAAGCTCCTTTCATTGCAATCTGCCTGCAACTCCTCTCTCTGTGAACGCTGTGTCTTTAAGAACTGAAGCCTCTGACTTGCCTTCCTCTTCCCCTCCTCTCGAAAGGAGGATTCCTTCCTGCTCCTCTCAGCCCCAGCAGCCTGGAGCAGTGCCATGTGCTGCAAAGCTCTCTCTTTGTGCTCCAGCTGTTTCTCCAGCCCTTGCAATGTTCTCTGACGCAACCGTTGCCTGTTTCCAAAACAAAATTTCTCAAATTTCTCATAAAGAAAGAGCAATAGAAAAGACAGTGCATGAGACACAAAGCAGATATTCTGGCAATGTGTGCTCAGTTAATATTCCAGGGCCCTTTGTTAGGTTATGATGGTTAAACCTGTGTCCAAAACAGAGGTAGTAAAACTCCCAAATGGGCTGGTGCCTGCTGTCAGCTCACTGCAGTCATCTGTCCATCTGACTACATAAACCTGGTGTGGCCAAGTGTTGCTGGCCCTGAAGACCAGGAATCAGGGAGATGGATTGTGCAGACAGGGCTATAGGACTGATCCAGACAACTAGGTGCCTGTGCTGCTGGTGGAGCCCCTGAGACAACAGAGAAGAAGGCACAAAGTGGGTCATGGGAGTAAAGCAAGGTCCTGCTCAGATTCAGTGGACTGTGGGGCCAGAGAGCAAGGATTTCAGAGGCCCAAGGCCCTTTGGTCTGAGAACAAGATTGAAGGGAATTCACCCCTGGAGGTAACACTAAAGGCTACGGGGTCCATGTGCACCCGTTCCCACATACCTCAAGAACCATCTTTTATTCCCACTAGGGAACCACTGTGACCCCTCTGCAGAGTCTGTCATAAAGCACAAGGTGTGATGTTCAGAAACTGAAGGACAGCACCAAGGAGCAGATGTTACCAACCTTCCAACATCTACCACAAAAAGCAGGTAGCTCCCAGGCATCACCTCTGGTTGTCCTTGTGCAGCTGCTGCTGGATGCCATCTGCCTCTTGCTGCTGCTCCCTCTTCAGCTGCCTTGGTTCCTCTTTCCTCCTGTTGTGCTCAGTCTGGGCTCTGCCGAAGTCCATCTCTTTCCATCTCTCCTGAGATGCACCATTAAGGATTGATTTCTAAGTGAAAAAAAGCCAACCCAAACCCTTAAACCCATCAGTGTGTTTTTCTAATGCAAACTGTAAACACACAAAACCAGAACAGCTTAGTTCTAATGTCACTCTTGAGGTCTGGAAGCTACACTGGCTCATGAATACTGCAGTTGCTTCCCACCCATGAACACCCTGAGGGTGATGTTAAAACCTATAGAAAACACTAGGCTTAACCAACAAAGGGGTGCCTGACAATCCACTGTTCTGCTTGTTCTGGTATTGAGCCAATGCTTAAAGATGCCCAATCTTTGTGTCAGCTTTCATGTTTCAATGAAAAATCCAGGTTCTGAACACAAATTATATTACATATTCCTCATTAGATTTTATTAGAAAGAGAAATACCTGCCCCCCTCTGGCCAAACACAAAATATTCCCTGAGTTCTCTGCAGGTGTAGCAACTCTTCACCTGTTGTCTGAGATTTCTACTTACGCTCAAGCAGTTTTTGTGTGTTCTTCAGCAGTAGCTGCATTTCAGTGCTGGGCAGTGCTGCTAATTTGTGTTTTTAAATGCACCGTGTTGTGGAAAAATATGAAGGAGTACCTACAAGGCTCCTTTTCACAGCCAGTGTGAACTGTTTCTTTCTTTTGTACTCCCTACAGTGCCCTATATGAGGGAAGGAGCAAGGAAACACCACCAAAACCTTAGGCATGCATTCAAGTTTACATTCCTAGAGCTGTTTGGGGGTGGAACAGAGTTTCCACAAAATATTTTCCTCTCCTTCCTCCTATTCCCAGATGCAGTTAGCACGTTGCTGCTGTTAGCTGCTCCTCAGCAAACAGAATGCGACCTCTCCAGTTCTTTCCAACTCTAATACCACAAGCTGAAAAACACTACAGGACCTTCAAATAAGATCCTGCCAGTCTCACATAGTATTTTGATGGGTTTCTCTTAACACAGTGATCTGTATGGCTTCCCAGGGGCTGTAAACAGCTTTGTTCTTCAGTATATTGCTATTCCTTGGGAAAAAAAAAAAAAAAAAAAAAGTACCTTGTGGGTGTTTGTGTTTAATGACATACAGGGGGAGAGATCAAAGAGAGAATCAAATGTATTTTATAGGTGGGAGGTAAAAAAAATGGTGTTTTCCAACAGGTAAAGTACTGGCCTAAGGTTTAGAAGACAAAGTTCCACTTCAGTCCTGACATGCACTCTCTGCTGTGGGATTCAGCTGACTATCCAGATTTTCTCTTTTTTGGTATCTATAAAAGAGGAATCAGTTTTTTGCTGTCCAGTAGAGCTGGCAGAGAGTTTTATTTAGAAAATATTAGATCCAAAATAAAAAAAAAAAAAAACCTCTATCAAAAGTGCTGAGTAAAAATACCAGAAGTGCCCTGCCCTGTACAACACAGATTCCCAAGTGGAAGCCTAAAGTTTCTATTTGTGCATAACCATTATTCTACACAGGCATAATTTTTGTTGCAGCAAAAACCTTTGCAAGAGATCAAAGGAAAGAACATTCTCACATGACATAAACAAATCTCCTGATCCTAAAAGCTAAATCTGGCTTGGACCAAATACTTACTGTAATGCTTTTGTCTTTCAGAAGGTTTAGAAGTTTTGTGGATCTCCTAGCCAGCACACTGGTGGTACTGTGTGGTCTCTGCACACGTAGAGCTGATTTGATGGTCAGGCTGTCTCTCTCTAGTGATTGATTCACTTGGTCAAAGAAGCTTTGGCGCCTGAAAGGAACCAAAGCACTGGTTCCCAGGGAAGGGCTCCTTGGGGAATGCTGGACTGGAGCTTCTGTCACTCTGGACTCAAAAAGACCTTGCAAATAAATTAGGGTAAGGACATAGGAGAATATAGGAAGCTTATAAAAAGAAAGTAAGTTAAAAGAACAAAAGGTCTTCTCATATAAAATATATTCAAGTAGGACTTTTATAACATTTTCCTCTGAGGGACATTTTTTAGTCTTCACAAAACAGATCCCAGCTTCTTTCCAGAAACAAGCTTGCTATTGCAGTCAGGGAAGAGTTTTGCCTGGTAACACAAGATTTCTGAGTGCATTTACAGCTACTCAGGCTAAGGGATTGTTTACGTGGCATTTCACAGACAGACATGAGCTGCTCCAAGATGAGTGAAAATGATAAATCTCTTGACAGGGCAAAGCCTGAGCTGTACATCCTACTGAGAGCCAGGAGACATTAGCTTGGGCACAGCACTGTGCTAACACAGCTTTTGGGTAGCTGAGAACATGAGCAGAGTTTGCTCACACCCTTCTGCTAAAGACAGTGCAGACCTGAGTGGCAGCTGTGGCACGGAACGATGATGAAACACCAGCTGGGAGGAAATGTGCACCCCTCCATGACTTTTCATTCTCCCCCTACCAGCAGTGCCACAAAGCAACAACAGAGAAAGCTTTAGGCTTTCAGAATCCTCACCTAAATGCCTGCCATTACCACAAAACTAAAAATGAGAACAGCAACAAATTGATTAAAATTGTGATCCAGCCCCTTTTGAATGTTAAGGGAACAAAAGTTTACTCAATGACAAGCAATAGTTTTCAGCACAGATAAGAGGAGTGTTCTGTAGAACAGTCCGGGTGAAATCTTTTTGATACAGACAGTAATAGTTAATGCTATTATAAAGATTAATTTTTAAAGTAAGGAAATTTTATAATAAATAGTATTTATACTGAGCGTTATGATAAAGGTTAAGAAAACCCAAAAGCTGCTACTGCAGTAGATGTAAAAAGCAAAAAAAAATTATCTCCATCCGAAAATTCTTTCACCTTGAGATGATGAACAACTTCTCAAACCAAAGCACTATTAATACTATAAAGATACTACATAATCATGGCCATAGTCACAGCGTGGTACTGTGGCATTTCCTTTTGAAGCATCAACAGTTATGGGAACAGATCTTAGACACAACGACCTGCTGCAGTGATATTGTGTGGCAAGTCTTACGTTTGGGTAAAAGAGCTACAATTTCACTACCATATTCATGTTTAAAATTAGCTCCAGTTTCAGTATCCTGCTGTCTGCTCTCTGGTTCCTCCTTGTGATCTGTGTCTGTGTTGACAGCGGTATCAACCATAGCATGAGCCATCTCCCTCTGAGCACCCTAGAAATAACAAGAAATGCATTCATAATTAAGGAAAAGAATAGGTTAGTTTCACGAACTTGCAGCAGAAGATCCTAAGTCATAACTGAAGTTTAAGAAAATCAAAAAAGACAAACTCTGGGGGGGTTATCTGGGGGAGTTCTTTACTAAAGAAACAACTCTTAGGTAATTTCTGATCACTTCATGGGTTTGTCTACATCTTCAAATGACCTAAAACTGGCAGTACTTCTGCCTGGAAGGGTCAGTACAAAAGAGATCAGGCCAGAGGAGCTCTGGCTGAAAGACAGTCCTGTTTCTGTCCCCTGCCAGAAATCAGGATTCTAACCCTTGCAGAGATAAGCTTGGCAGTAACTGGTGCACATGATCCTCCTTACTGATTCTCGCTCTGTTAACAAGCACCAAATCAACTGCTGAGGATAACTTAAGTCTCTTATGGTCTTTGGTTGAGAGAGGGGACACATCTAACAGGGTGGAGAAGTACCTTAATAGAATTATGCAAGAGACTGTCTTGGTATGGAGTAATCCTTACTTTAATCCTTATCCAGTGTCAAGTCTTTCATCTGACACTTTTTCCTGCCTTTACCTCCTTCACACAGCAGCAGCATGTAGAGGAACTGGGCTATGCAACACTTCTTATATTCTGCATTCATGGAAGAAATTCTAGAAGCCTGCTCCAGCCAGGGACAATGACAGCTTTTAACTCTTTCCCTGGTCAAAGGATCAGGAAGACAGTGCAAAGTCTCTCCATTCTTTAGCCAGCATATATAAGGGCCAGGCCTAAAACCTCTAGTAATTTTTTGGTACCAAGGGCAGTAAACTTCAGGTAACAAAGCAGATATTTATGCAAACAGCAGACCACATATTGACAGAAGAGCCAGGGTGAAGCATTTTTTACCTTCTTAGGTTCTATAATCTCATCGTCCTCTTCCAAACAAGACCAAACATCTTTTGGAACATTTTCTGTCTCTAACCTCGTCTCTTCCTTTTTCTCTTCCTCTCCGGAAACACTTTCTGAAGATGTAATTCTCAATTCAGACAGTTCCTCTTCTATTTTCTTGTTGAGCTCTTCTCCAGCCAAGCCTGTTCCTGGGATGAAGGCATTTCCCTGATGCACTTTACACCCTGCAGGCCGTGTGGGTTCCCAGGCTGCCAGGCAGCACTGGGGGAGCGAGGTGCACCCCCAGCTGCACTTAGCACATGGATGAGCTGAACACAGACCCCCTGGCCAGTAGGCCAGGTCTGAGTGACCCGGTCTGTAGCGTCCTGAGGCTCTATAACCCGGTGTCACGATGTACGGGTAATGTAAACTTGAATCTACCACCATCTGCCTGGCCGCTAAAGGCATCTGCACTTCTAGGACGATGCGTTCACTTAAGGGCAGAGGAATCCGCAGAGCTTTGTCAGAGGACACCTCCTTGGTCTGTCCATTCCAGAAATTCACAAGGACTCCACTTCTGTTGTGTGCTGTGGGTATAAAAAACAAAAACAAAGCCGGGCTTAGCAAGGCCGGGCTCAGCAAAGCCAGGCTTAGTAAAGCCAGGCTTAGCAAAGCTGGGCTCGGCAAAGCCGGGCTCGGCAAGGCTGGGCTCGGCAAGGCCAGGCTCAGCAAAGCTGGGCTTAGCAAGCCTGGGCTTAGCTAGGTCAGGCTCAGATAGGCCGGGTTTAGCCCGTGGATGGGATCAGCAAAGCTGGGCTCAGCAAAGCCGGGCTCGCAAGGCCGGGCTTGGCAAGGCCGGGCACAGCTAAGTCGGCCTTGCCGAGCCCATCCACGGGCTTAGCCCGGCATAGCTAAGCCAAAAAATCCGTGACCCTCCAGCAGTAGCTCAGAGAACAGACCCTTTGGCTGCTCCGGGCATCCCTGCTAGTGTAAGGAAGCTGCAGAGTAGGGGAGAGGCCCTCGAGCAATTCACAGACCTGGTCTTTGTCTTGTAGGTGTGACTCGATGTGCCACAGTTGTGACAAGTGGAATTACAATTCCCAGAGAGGTCTTTAATCTCCCTTTCATTGCAGCCAGAGTGCACTTCCACAGCTCTGTCCTTTACATGCCTTTCTTTCTGGAGTTACTCTTCTAGTTCACCAGCCTGGGCTTCAGGTAAGTGCAGACCTTCTACTGTCAGGGTGTAGGT